GCAATAACTGTGCAGCCAATATACCGTTTAGGTATGTTTACTTGTGGCACTCTAAATTTAATGGACATAATTTATTTTATATAGACAGGATATTTTTGAAAAATGACTAAACAAATAAAAGTATATAGAATATATTAAGGAGTGGGACAATAAACAATAATATTCCTTATTCCTTAACTATATTTTGGTGGCTTTTTCAGCTTCTGATTGAGCCGCATTCTGACTGGCTTTATTTTTTCTTACATGGACTAAATAAGGACAAAATTGAGTTAAAATTTAAAAACCGTTTTACCTTGCATCAACTCACCTAAATTGCTTTATTGATGTTGATAATATGGGTATATTCTGAAAAATGTGCTTTTTGAAGGCGCCTTGTCCAGTTCAGCTGAGGAGTTGAATTTTTAGATAATAATCTGGCTAATATATTCCTACACACTTCTTCAGTGTTTTTGCCCCCTAGTATTCCAAGACTATTTACCTGAAAGATTATTTCTCTTTTGTATATCCATTTTTTAAATCACAAAAATAGAAAACGGAAAACGGGGGCAAATAGAAAAACGATAGAAAACTTAGGTTATGATAATACGGGGGCCGAGACGGGGGCCTTTGTTTTTGTTTATTTGTATCAATTTTCCACCTACCTTGTTTCCTTTTGTTGAAAATAATGCATCTTGTACACGTAGTAATACAAATCACAGGTAAGAGACACGTGAAAAACACCACAAAAATTATAAATCAAAAACGCTGCCCTGCATCAGTGAAACATTACAATACAATAAAATAAAACAAAATGGCTACGCTCACAAATCTACGGCAAAAAATACTGTGCTCGCGCAAATTGGCACATTTCTTTACAGTAACTGCACTAACATTTTACAACAGTTGTTGCATCAATATGCGCATGGGAGATCGAAATAATCAATCGCTTTTCCAATACAAAATCTGCAAAGCCGCTGCATGTCAAATACCGCACTTCTAAAATACAGTATTCCCAATACAAGTACTGCGCAGAATTAATAAAACTATTTATGTGCTGTATTTGGGCTGTGTTCGTGATACAGCAACATTACAGCGCCGATAAGTTGTGTTTGTTGGGCTGTCTCTTATCCTACAACACAATATGTAGCCAAGGAACACCACCTGAAAACCTAACCTAGAAAATATAGACACAATGAAAAAGAAATGTTAATCAAGAACCGATTTTGATATTATTACACATTCTAGAATTGCCAATTTCCATCTACGAAAACGCAATTATTACCTTTTCTTTTGAAAGAACAGAAAATGCCCTGTTATGACTAAATTACAAAGTATGAGGAACAACATATACCTAATAGTAAGATTTTTCAACTCCATTAGGTATTGTTTTTCGGTATCCTTTATTCTAACGAGTGTTTGAAGGTAGGCAATGATGAACTTAGCTTAGTAGAACTGCAATTTCGGACTCCCATCAACGTCTGAATTTCACTCATTTCGGTGCGTTCTATATAGGTATAACTAGGCTACACTTTATTTTTTCCCAAGATAGATTTTGACATTGAAAATTTTGAAACATAAACAATAACGCTTGACCCTGATTGGTCGCAAAATGAGGTGTTTCTGCAGGTTGACATCAGTTTTACAATAGCGGCCAATAAACGGCATTAGCGGCATGCATTGTTTATGTTTCAAAGTTGACAATGCCAAAATCTATCTAATAAAGTGTAGGTAACTAGTCGTTCTCAAGTGTGTTATTAGTTGCTAACGGTCAGTGATTCAGTACCCATACGGACCGAAATGTCGGAAATTTAGATGCAAATTTTCAATAGTAGGTACCTATACCGAGTGCAATGGATATTATCGATAATTTTTGGGAAATTTGTCCGAATACAGTATTAGTTGAAAAAGAGCACGAGTGCACGTAGAGTGCACGAGGTTTTTTTTTCAGTTAAAAACGCATCATGAGCCCAAATTTTCCTAAAATTATAAATTTATTTCCATTGCACAAGTTGTATTTTATGAGAGAATTTCATGAATCAAAAATTTAATTTTTTTTTCAGTCAAAAAACCAGTTCTCGCACCAGTTACTACCTATATGCAATTATCGTGATAATTTGCACTAGTGCAAATTATCGCATAATTCCAATCTGCGATTGGTTCAGACAATGAAAACATGTCAGTTTATTGTTGGAATGTGAGTTTTGACAGATGTATGAAATTCTCAATGATGATATAACGAGTGCAGTGGAAATTATTGACAATTTTTGGAAAATTTGCCCGAATGCACTCGTGCCTTTTTCTGTTAAAAACGCATAAGTGCAAATTTGTTGAAAATTATACATATATTTCCATTGCACGAGTTGTACCTAGGTATTTTATGAGAGACTTTCTTGAATCAAAAATTTAATTTTTTTGTCAAAAAATGTCAAAACACCAGATCTCGCACCAGTTACCTACTATGCAAATATCCGATAATTCCAATCTGATTCGTTCAAATCAACAATCAAAACATGTCAGTTTATTGTTGAAATGTCAGTTTTGACAGATGTAGGTATGAAATTTTTGGGAAATTTGCCCGAATGCATTTTTAGTTGAAAAAGAGCACGAGCACGAGTGCCTTTTTCAGTTAAAAACGCATGAGTGCAAATTTGTCGAAAATTATAAATATATTTCCATTGCCCCTGTTGTATTTAATGAGAGAATTTCATAAATCAAAAATTTAAATTATTTTTTGTCAAAAAATGTCAAAACACCAGTTTTCGCACCAGTTAGTATGCAATTATCTGATAAGTTGCACTAGTGCAAATTATCGCGTAATTACAATCTGATTGGTTCAAATCAACAATCAAAACATGTCAATTTATTGTTGGAATACCAGTTTTGACAGATGTATGAAATTCTCCATATTATTTCATTTTTAGCTTTTTTGTTCAATGTCAATTTTATATCAATTCTTGACCTATATAGGTAGGTACCTACCTAATGTATTTTTTCTACAAACGTGTTAAAAATACAATTTTTAACACCCCCTCGAAGCATTAAAAATGTTACTTTATCGCACTAGTGTTAAAAGTCTTTAAGGCACTAGTGTTAAAAATTAAACATCAAAATTTGAAAGCAAACGTCAAAAAATGTTTGTATTTTTAATTATTTACATTAATATTAATGGTAAAATTTGAACAACTGAGGAAGCTCCTTCGGCCGCCTCCTCTATATTTTTCAAGGGATTGATGCAACCCTCTTTTTCTTGTGTATTTTGTTGCATTTTTAGCAATAAGCTCACTGATCACGATAGACTATACGACAGACTTTCAAGAAACTGACGAGACATTTCATTACCTGTAAAACAAGGTGCTGGTTGTTTGAATTTTTTGACAAATATCAACTTCAATAATTTTATGTAGGAAAGATGCTTCCAATTTATTATTTATTTAAAAATCCAATTTGTCACTGGTTATTGCTTGTTATTGCCGTTTGTAGAAAAAATATTGTATGATATTTGTGTTAAAAGTATTTTTATTTTCTACTTTACTATTATAGATCCATAATACCTAGGAAACGAAATACGTTAACACACCTATAACAACCTGATCCATAACGCCCGCTTTTGCGGGCGTTATGATCTATAACGCCCGCTTATAATACCTTAAGGTGTTTTTGTTGTTGTTGTTCTATTAATTTGCACTTTACCCTAGGCAGCCACTAAATGTTTGACCGAAAATAATTTTCGGTCTAGCCAGGATTCGAACCCGGTCTACCATCAATGTTTCCCATGTAGTCCAGCGCGTTAACCCACAGGACCACCACCGTTGCCTTGCCTTATGAGATGTTTATAGATATATTAATTTATTTCGTTTCTATGTACAGGTCTCAGGTACAGGTACAGGTCACAGGTACAGGTACATGTCAAAATACAAAACAATATTCTGTCACACAAGTTTAACTGATTTTGTTAATAACAAATTGATGAAAAAACATTGTGTTGAGTAGAAAATAAAGCATTGTATGCACCACGGGGATTTCAAGATTATAATGCCCTTCAGGCGAAATATATCCCTCGGGCCATAGGCCCTCGGGCTAGTTTCGCCTTCGGGCATTATAATCTACATAATCCCCTTGGTACATAAATAGCTATTAAGGCACTTATGTGAATTGCAGAATTCGCTTCGCTCATTCTGCAAACTTTCACATGCGTGCCTTAAAAATGTACTTTTAACACTTATATCATAAATAACTATTAAGTATTGTGAAGAATGCTCTTTTTTGTCATTAACGTAGGTACCTACTTATATGTCTGCCTTTTCACATCTGCACAAACTAGATTTTAGTTCCAAAATTATTGTATGTTTGTTGTGTTGTTTTTATTTTTTATTGAAATAGTGTCTGTCATGCATGGATAAATTATGTTAATCAACCTATTTTTTCACTTTTCTCTTGTCGCAAGGTAAAAAAATATTGATTTTAGTATTTTATGTGTAGGTGGTCTACAAAGTATCGACAATGGGTGTGGGTGGGTGTATGTTACCAAAAACTCATTATTATTCTTTGCGGTCAAATAAAGTATATCGACTATAAAACGAAACAATAAAAAATAATTCAATACCCGATCTCAAAAATGGCGTCGATACAATTTTCTTGCCAACAAGAAATTATAAATATCTCCCACCTCTTCCATCGTCGTCGCGGCTGTATCGTGCAAAGAAACCCGCGCATTGTTGCCAAAAGAAAAAACAATCAGGTTAATAAGTACGAAAAAGATTACGCAAGAAAGTGTATGATCGTCAGTATCTTTGTGGGAGTCTCACGGGATGCCCCGCCTTCATAACAATGCCCAGTTCGCAAACCTCTTGGAGCTCATCTACACGGCAGGGCATTACGTTAACAATTCGCAAAGTAGGCGGTCTGCACACGTGGTGTCCCGGGGAGGGACAGAGGCGGGACGATCAGTAGAGAGGGGAGAGATGCAGCAAACTTGCCGAAGCGAGCAGAGGCATCCTGGCACGCAGTGTACACGCACATGACCCGCAAGTCCGTGGTACGTCGCTAAAATTCGTCTTCTAGTGTGTGTGTGACCGTAACATCATCGAGGTGTGTAGACAATAAGCCCTGCGGCGAGGACGTTCAGGTGACAGGTGTAAAAAACATCATCGGACATTCGGGTGTCGAACCAATAGAGCTCGGAGTAAACAATAGTTGTGATAGGGGTTGCGCATAGGGGGCAGACAAGGGTGCGCATATCCCATTCGCTCAGTCTGATCTCTTTTATGCAGTGCGGACAGTTTAGTTAACGAACACAGTGGCTGCCGCACATCTTCAAGAGGTTCGCTCACCGGCGAATCTACAGCAGTCATGTGTTGACTCCTTCTCACTATTCAAGCAGATTAGGTGAGTTGCATGTATTGTGTCTCTTCTGCTCTGTCGATTAGTGTCGATGATGCATGGTACTTAACCCTCGACCCTGTCAATAGTTTAAAGACAACTACTCCTTGTGATACGAACTCTAATAAAATGCTTTAGCACATTATTTATACTTTCCCCAACACTGGCTACGATAACAATTAATTCAAACCTGATTTCGTACTTCGATGGTCATTGGTCCTTCGAGCAGGCTTAATATAAAGAGCGCGTCAATTACTTTATTATTGTTAAATATTTTCTTTGACCTCAAATTCGATTGTCTTCTCTTTGATTTGATGATAGTATCCAAAATGTCCTTGCATTGCAAAGTCAAAATTTCTTAGATTTTGCAGGAAAAATTGCAGTGGATAAATTAAACGTCTCTATTTCATCGAGCGTATGCCTTAGGGATTTCTAAATTTATAGTTGCCGCTACCTAATAATTGAAGGTTGCATTCTTTTAAAAAGAAATTATCTAAAAATATCTAAGATAGGTAGCTTCCTAATTATACCTATATTTTTTTGGACTTTAGTGAGGTCAATTTGTCAGTAACACAGTTTTGGAAACAGTTCAATTATTGTTTCGGTCGCACCTGTTCAACAAGCTTTGTGCCCATTTTTTCTTCTTGCAAGTATGTTTCAACAAACAGATTTATTATAACCTAAAAACAAGCAAATCTTAATATTTTACTGTTTTGCACGCAGAAAGTTAACGTCTTACTTCAACTTTGCTCATAAGACGAATTGATCTAAACACAAAACAAACCATAATGGTGGGATTCTAAAGAAACCATTATAGCTTATCATCATATACAATGGGGATATAAAGATCAAAAAGCTTGTTAATTGTGGGCCCTTCAGTAATATAGGCAAACCGTCTAGATAGAACTATACCTACCTATTTATTTATTTATTGTCGCTTTGGAGACTGTATTCAAATGTACATGTTTAAAAAAGTCAAAAGAAAGTACACTTCTATTCATAATTACAAACATGCACATTTAATTTATGATATAGCATCGAGAATGGGATTTATTTATTTTGTATTAAATCCAACAAAATCTTATTGCGGAATAATAATCCGCATCTTTGTTCGTAATATCACTTCACATCATTTCTGTACCCACTATATCTACTTATTTACTCTGATTTATCAATATCCATCATGTATCAATTTACCCTCAAACGATCTTGATCATATTGTTAGAAAATAAAGTATCAGCATACTTCAATATCGCCTTGACATTGTTTGGTAATAAACAAACCAGTAATCATTTAATTTTTTAACGGTATTTTGTATTCTAATAATTTTATATGGTACCTAGGTTATAAGTATTCTATTAGGTATTAAGGTATTAAGATCCAGCGGAATAGTCAGCAGTATTGAATAATATTGTTATTATACCTACTCTGTTTTTAAATCCCAGGGTAAACATAAATGTGTCAGAGGACAGAGTGCGTTTATTATAGTTAGTGCATTAGGTGATAAGACTGCAAGTAGATTATAATTGTTAAAATCTTTTACCTAAGCCTATGGATAGTAAGGAGAGGATTTTTCGAGTGGATGGTTGATAAGGGTATAGATCGAGCCTTTCGCGTAAGTTTTCTTGAAGAAGTTTGTAAACATTCTCTATGTGCGTGTACGAATGAGGCTGATCAATAATGAATGCCTACCATCCAGTCCAATGCAAATGACAATGGAAAATGTTTCCGCCAAATTTGGCTAACTAGATATTAAAAAAATCTCATATCATTATATCTTATGGAATTCTGATTTTGCCAGATCCGGATTGACCTGAAAAGTATCTCTTTGGATAGTCTTAACTGACCTCCGATCTCGGCTATTAAAGAAAATTATTGCCGCTTGGCCAATGTGAATGCACCCATATCAAAACCCGTTGATTAAGTATCTACATTAGCTCTAAGTTTGTTGCTTATACAATCCGTGGTTATCTTATTTACCTTAAGGGATACTAAAAAGGTCAAAATGAAGGAAGGTAAGCGGAAAGCTTACTAAATATATAAGATCTTAATTTTGACACTATCATAAGGTAGGGCCGGTAGGGGACTAATCTACCTATAAAGATTTTCATGATGTACTTATAGGTACCTACCAGATTCTTTACAACACTTTCCACTGATGAGCTTTGCTTCAAATTTTACGTTGATATGTACCAAAACACCAAATTGTCTTTAACTACGGAGAAACGATCGGTTATCGAAAACCTTCGAAGATTTGCTTGCATTTTTTACCTACAACCACATGAACAAAGTACATGGAAACAAGCGGATACTAACAATTTAATGTCTACCAAAAAAATTCAAATCGGTTCGTCGATTGTTATCTGACACTTTTCGTATGAGGAGCGAGGGGGTGAAATATGGCAAAAACAGGTGTGACGTCAGGTGACCATTGGCGTTCTAATGTAGGGTGCCACCACCTCACATTCCTTTCAAGTATCAGATTAAAATCGGACTTTACGTCCTAACTTCCACATGAATGAATTATTCTCAAGAGGCTCCGACGAATTCCCCTTTGGTCTTATTACATCATATCGTTTATCAACAATTTTCTGCCGCAGCCCATTGACCCTATGCATTGGACTTCCGGAAAAAAATCCATTGAGCTTGAATCGAGCGATCAGGGAGCCCGCGGCAGAAAGCGTCCTTTCTATTCCTCAGATTTTTTTTTTAAATAGATATTAAATCCTCCCGAATGCCATTCTAGACACATCACTTGTTTCAACTATGTTGTATTTATCTTCTATTTGACTGTTCAAAATAATAAGAGGCAACTTTTCACAACTTTATAATATCTGTTTCGTCAAAATATACCTTATATATGTTTTAGGATTTTTGTGAGTGGTCCGATGTCGGCACTTCCACTGAGTCCTGCGGCATATTGTGGCTCACTACCAGTTTATATTTTCATCAGTCAAGCGCTTCTGATGAAGGTTGAAATGAGCCTGGGGGACAGCATGCTTTAGTATTCGGTTCAGACAGCTGACTCACCGAATACATGATTCTGGCTATTACCGGACATGTTCATAGGACATGTTCTGCAGTTTCGTCCTTTTCTATGCACAGGCGCCACCCAGCATCTTGTGATCCTGTACATGTGATGCCAGAGTACAGTCCCACCAAGGCTTTGAGGCTATCTTTTGCAAGTTGATCCGCTTTTTCGTTGTGTTCTTTTCCGGTGTGTCCTGATCATGAAACGTTGTTAATCCTAGCTGATTCAGGGCTTATTTGCAGTTCCGTATACTGTTTTGGATGCCAGTGCTTCCACCTTATACCTGGTGTCCCACCGAAAACTGTCAATGGCCTATATCTTGTAAACCGTAATCGATAAAGAAAAAAAGAAAAACCCATTTGGAGGGTTGGAAAGAGTAAACAAAACAAGGTACTTACCTCAAAATAGCACTATAGGTCTTGTGATACCTTGTTTTGAAGGTCTTTCAATTCTCTAAACGAATCTACAACCTAGATGAAGGATGGAGGAAAGTTGATAATTTGCTACTTAGTTGTCAGTCAGAAAAAGTTCATAATGGGGGTACAATATACCTACCCTTGGAAACTCTGCCCTGGCTTAAAGAATTAATTGGACCTTGTCGAGAGATTGAGCTCCCAACGACATTTGACAACAAATTTATGAAAAACATGATATTCACTGATACATTAATGATAACGGAAAAAAGAAAGCCCCCAAGAATGAACAAAGAAAGAAATCTCTACTAGATTGTAGTTTGCATTTGAAGTCGTTACACGTTGCTCCGGCTGCTCAAGCACTGCTACCTTTCCAGATATTTTGGGAGGCCAGTTTCTTGAGTGGTGAAGCGCACACCTCTTCGGGTGTTAGCCGTACCCGTTGAAGGTATTTTACAGAAGTGGCCACGGCATCCACAAAATAAATGTTCTGCAGTTTCTGCTGCTTGTTCGTGCCTATTGGTTTTAGGTGATATTCCACCAGACAGTACACAGTGTCCAGGGAGCGCAGTCCAACGACTGTTCTAATGTCTCTTCTGTTCTGTCGAGTTGTTCAGATCTCTTTGCAGAAATGGACATGAACCTTTTCGTCGGACCCGGAATACAATGAGCTAAAATTCAGTTCTTTTCCCATCTGTTCGTTTCTCTGGAGACGTGGCTTTTCATTAGTCCACAAAAAGAAGCTGGGCATTGGAAAGGTTATTTTTACCAACTACTGCGAATTGCTGATGATGTGCTTTCTTGAAAGGCCTCTTTTAAGGCACTCTTGGGCACAGATGTTTATGGTCAGTACCTCGGTTTGAAATATTGTGGGCACTTTACCTATTACTAAGGAAAGTTTGGTCCAGTTATTCCCACACTCCCACACTTCCGTTATCTTCGAACCATGCGTATACCACAGTGATGACGTTCTTTTACAACCACTTTACATGGAATTTCAAAGTCCAGTGCTGTTATCATAAAATATCATATGATCTGTTGGGTTTACTTCGGCACTCGACTTTTATAGACTGAAGGATCACCATCAGGTTTGATTTTTTTTGTCTGGAATAGCCTATAGGCATCTATTCTTGCCTCTTTATTCACATAGGTGAAGAGGAGGCATGTGTAGCAGTACCTGTAAGGCTGCGGTATGGCAGGTTGACATATCACCTATTATTCCTAGACAGATTAGTATTTTTACTTTACGTAGACTGTTCTGTCCAGGAATTAGTTCAGTTTTTGACCACCATACCAACGAGTGTGGCGAACCACTTCTCTTCCCGCCTTTCGGCATTATCTGTTGATTGTCCAGATTCGGTGCTCGCAGTAGGCTGGAAACGGTGGAGAGGAGAAGGGGCTGGGTAGACAAACATGCCGACATACAGAGAACAAAGATACGTACGATAGACAAACCTACACAGCGACAAAAGGGAGACTATCAAGACAAACACAACAAAACTGGACGGACATCTACGTAGACGCGAGCGTAGGCCAAGATGGGAAGACAGGCATCGAGGTTT